AAGACGAGCAAAGAATGTTTCGTTCCAAGCAAATTATTCCCTTCGCAGTTTTCTACTTAGTACACCAGATTGGCCTGAAAACCCTAGCCGAGGACCATCATCACACCACATCTTCACACACTGCTAAATTTCGAACACTTTTATATAGGATCGCATTCTTTTTATATCCGTTATACCAATATTCGATGAGAATCATACAGATATAAAAAAATACAGAGGTATGCATCATTGGGAAAATTTTTTAATCTCCTTACTAAGGTCATAAGTATACGACATACCTATATACAAGTTATAACCTTACATATGTGCACTCACCTGTAATAATAAGATTTTTCTGTCATTCTCTAAAGTTTAAAACGTCCGCTTATAAGCAAGTCTACAAATAATTCGGTGAAGAGACAATTGGAGTTGGTATAAATAAATCATGCTGATGTACTGAAATAAATAGAGCAAAGTATATAAAGTAGCGGTCACATGAGTACAACTTTATCAGGATATTACGTAAGCTGTTTTTTATTTCTCAAGCTATGCAGAATAGCAAGTCAAACAACCAACAGGTATAAATTAAACAAACTGGTATAATCAGAAAAGAAAATGAAAAGGAGGCATCTACATAGGATAGCGTTAAATTGCACAAATCTTCAGAGAAAAGCGAGTCGAATGAGCAACTGGTAAAAACTAAATGAACTGGCATAATCGAAGAATGAAGAAAAAGTAAACCATATCTCTTCAATTCGGTATTATACAATTTTATTGTAAGAAACCTGATTCGTAAAAATAAAAAAAAATCCTCCAAAATCCCTTAGGACAGCAAAACAAGCAGTCATATCACTTTACCAGGATGTAACGTAAGTCATTTTTACCGAGCCGAAAGGCAAGTCGCACAATCAACTGGTATAAATAAAGAAAAATAATATAACCCCTTAAAAATAGTATAACAAGCAGTTTGTATTGACAAGTAGTAACAAAGTTCGATACAATGAAAATTTGCCAAATCAAATAAACTGGCATAATTTCTTACAAATTGTTATATTATTTATAATTAGTATTGATAAGAGTTACCAAGACTCGATACAACGGAAATTCACTATTTCTCTGCAGCATTAATATGAATTCCGTGAAAACTCCGAGGCCCATTTGTTTGGACTTTTAACTCCCATCACCGCCATCCTCTATCTGCTGCCATTATTCATTTATTGACGTTTGCGTGCAATTTGTTGCTGAAATTTTATTAACGCAATTAAATTCTTTATGGCTGCGCCCGAGTATTGGCAAAGTTCGCCATGAGAAGACGAGTCCGAAAAACTGGCAGACCAACAGGCCAACAGGCTAACAAAAAGCAATAACGGCCGAAGAGCAGAATAGCACTAGTACTACACGGGAGAAAAAAGCCATAAAAGAATTTAAAAACATAAAAACGAATGCAATTTGTTGCAAAAAAGCAATAAAATAAGGCAAAAAAAAAAATTACGAAACGCGCTGAAAATGTAAAGAAATTCTAGAAAAATAATGAAATAAAAAATGTATGCTGCACCTGTCGTCAGCCAGCGCCGCTGATCTTGATGAATGAAATTGTCGAAGGAGGCAAGTTGTTGGCAGTTGCCAGTTGCAAGTTGCCCAGTTGCAACTTTTATGCTTGATTTATATGCGCAACAAAAATATGAAATGAAAATTTCATATAAAAGCGGGAGTGAGAGAAAGACACACACATATATATACACACTCGCAAAATTACTCGTTTTCTACGATTTCTGCTGCACTCTTTTTATTAGTTGCGTCGCCTTGACGCAGTGAGCCAGCAAGTTTTGCACTTAACAAGGCGAGCAGGCTGAAAGTTGAAACGTAAAGAAGTCGTAAAAAATATCTGCTGTTCGTGAAATATATTCCGCTCGTTAGAAGTATGCGCTGCGCTTGCTTGTGTGTGTGGACGTGCTTGTTGCAAGCAGGTGGCCCATGTTTTAAAACTAATAACTAACATGCATGCGCCAAACTTGAAAATATATATTTTAATAACAAAAAAAAAATAAGAAAACGAGGAAATAAAATCGGGCAAAGAAATTCAGGCAGAAAAATGTGTGGAGCGCACTTGAAGACGTTAATAAGAAAATATATCATATTTATGCATTTCCCGACATTGCATGCGAGCTTAATTACGTTATGTTGCATATGTACATAAATAGGCTACTGTGGATGCGCAAATAGTGTTGTTATTTTTATAAATTATGACAAGAGCTGGCACTAAACAACTCATCTGTGCTCTTTCTTTCAAAGGAGAGAACAGGATTTTCTAGAGTTTTCGTTTCTACTTGTACATATAATGTATCTTTAATAAGCTTAAAATAGTACCCTCCCGCATCTTCAACGTTTTAAAGCTTGATATTAGTAATAAAAAAATTCAAATATTATGTGTCAAAGATGCATTGCGACCCGTGGACCTACGCAAAATTGGAGACGAGAAACGTTTGAATGTGATTGCCCGATCCTCTATATAGCGCTGAAATATCAATCAATGAAATCAGTCGAAATAAATCTTACCGTCGTGGTCTTTTTTCATTTATACCATACGCGCACTCAGAGTATTCTTTCCGTTTCGTACGTTATCTGAAGATGCTGCTTTGATAATCGCGACTTTGAAGCCGGTGCCGAATAAACCTTACAGTATCCTAAAAGAAAAAGATCGAGCTAAAATGGTGAAAAGCTGGCGAAGTCGTTGAAAAGTCAATCGAAATAGACGATGAACATTCCCACTGATCGCCAACATTAAGTTATATCTAAAAAGATCACACGCACATGCAGATTTTTATTTAACCCAAATTCTTACAGGTCATGGACGTTTTAAATCATATTCGAAATGATTCAAGCACTAGAATATTGACATATGTGACCTTTGCAGAGGCGACACCATCGAGGATTTTTATCATACATTTATACATTATCCAAGTGATAAAGTCGATATTTTTATTGGCCATTTGTAGGCGTGGCAGATGTCCGACTACACTTATCTGCAATACTAACCCCCTTATGACTGGAGGGACGGGGCGGGATCAAAGATCAACAGAGATGGGGTCAAGTGAAGGCAACTGAATTTATTTGTACCAATATATATTTAGGAGCATTGATGGCTTCGAATGCCTATATTATATGGTACGTTCTAAATTAACAGAATTTAATTACTCCATTTAGTACCTTCTGCCCGTTTAAATTTCTCCAACTTCTGTATCATTTGCGTAAAAATAAAAACTTAACCAAAATATACAATAAACTAGTCTTTGAATCCTCTCCTTTTCAGCTACTAAATTACAAAGCTACTTTTGACAATTTTTAAATATTTTCTGAGTAAATCCTTAATATCAGATAATATAACGCTGCCGTTGATTTTACCAGGGCAGGCTAATGAAAACCAATTTAGCCTTCTTGGTGTCGAATAGTAAAATCAGCATACGGTCTAAAGCAATGAAGTATCTTTAGTTATTCATGCATAAGACCTTTTAGTTTAATTGCTGTCTTTCATTCGTCAAATCTTAGAGAGTGGTGAATCGAACAAACAACTAGTATTTATGACATAAACAGGCATACCAAACAAAATGATTACAAAGCAAGCGGTAATATCACTTTAAGAAAGTATACGCATACTCAGTAGAGTTGAATTCGACGGGTATTTTTTCCGATACGCGAGGGAAAAGAATACTACTGACAGGTTGTAAATTTAGTATAGCTTTTAAGGAAAACATTTAATTTTGAAAATCGATTTTATTATTCAATAATCGAGTTCGATACACCAATTATTGGGATCCTACAAATTTTAATATTATTTGCTATGACTTCTCATAGTTCATATACTGCGCTTTATAATAATTAAATTGAGAATATATTAGTTGAATTCCTATACTTTTATCAACTACTTAATAAGTTTGAATCTTGTGTAATTATTTTCTGTTCCAGCGTAGTAAAAGTAAAAGCTAAGCCAACTCGCCATTATATATATGTGACCCTGATTATTATTAGCTAAAATTTCCGCTCTTTCAAGTCAGTTATTAAAGCGAAAAGAACAAGCTAATATTAGGTCAAACATAACAAATAACGATGAGCACAATAAGGAAACCCGACCAAAGCATAACGGTAACAATGGAAAAAAATACTACAGCCTTGACAAGAAAATCAAATCCAATTGCCAGCCGATGACAAGTGTGTCAGTGATTCACACAAGCATACATATATAACTGCGTGGACATTTGGAAATGCCTTGACCCAACGGCAATAACAACAACAACGGCAAATTGAACATGCCTCGTTCAAATTTCGTGTGCTGCTGACACATATTGATGGCCGATTGTGGGCTATATTGGTGCACATTTACGGCATGAATTGCAATGCACCATAGGTCAACGTCAATATTAGCCGTCGCTCAAGCAAACATACGTTTCGGCCGGATGTTCGTTCGGCTGTCATTGACATGCGCCGGGTCACAAATTTATCACTCATACGCATTTGCATTGTGTCAGCGCTGACAGCGCATTGTTGATATTTGGTTAGTGCATTGTTTGCGCATTTGAATACGATTCAATACATCATACAATAATTGTCAAGCACTACCGATGTATATATACACATAATATATATATTTATATGTACTCAGTATATAGGTACCATAGGTTGGCATAAGGAAACAGCTGCTGACAAATTATATGAGCTCAGTTGTTATTTCTCTGCTATAATAAAAGCTTTCTGCTTTGACACATAAGGTTAAGCGCCTAAAAGTATGTAAATACGTTAGTTTGGCTGTTAAGCAAATATGAAGACTATTGGTATTTATTAGAGCTCTTTAAGCTCCATTTAGCTTTATTATATTAGTAAGATTATTAGGTATAGCCTACACACATACATCTTTAACTATTTATATATACGGTAAATAAATATTTGTATATGTAAATTACCTATAAATGTGTACCCTCACTTTGTTGCTAACACTTCTAATAAATCTCTTCTCTCTTTGTTTGCAGGTAAATTATGGAAAAATTGGAGCAAATAATTTGACTAGTGACAGGAAGTGGTAATTATAGTAATCAAGAAATTACTCTGCACTACAATTTATAACTAAAAATAATTTATATACCACAAATCAATGCAGTGTTGACTAGCAGTGTTATTAATTTATGACAGATTCGAAACGACGCTAATAGTGAAAGCAAAAATAGCTGAAAATTTTATATAGCATATGTGTGCTTGTATAGCTTTTGAATTGAAGCTCAATAAATGGAAGTGAAAGCTTTGATATGTTAATTGCAGTAATAATTATCGAAAATCGCTTTATTGTTTTCAAAAATATTCTCCATTAACATCTATACACGTTTGCATATATTTTAACTAATTGTCGAAGCATTTCTGTAACTCTGAGTGAGGTATCTCCCAAACATGACTTCGGAATGCATCAACCGCCTTTTCGGGTGTCGAAAAATGTATAAAGGCAACCTACGTTGAAACCAGAACCAGTATGCTTACGCTCAATAAAAATAAATATGAGTTTGATACAAAAATTTCTGGAAGGTCTCTTAACATAAAAGAATTTATTGCTAATACTGTAAATTAGGCCTCCACATTTTTCTCCAAAAAGAACACGAACCGTCAATTTGATGACAAAGCAATCGCTGCTGTTGCAATGAGGAAATACAATCAGAATTCACATAACCTAAAAGCATTTCCAAAAAAATTACGGGGCTTGCGACAATAAAAAAATAGCATCAAAAAATTCTCTATCAACTAGGTATACTATTATAAAAGCAAAAAAAAAAAAAACACATCCAAGTGTCAAAATATTACAACATCAAATATTTTTAAACTTCGCAGAAAGACTTTGAGCTTCAGTTAAATATCTAAAGTAGCTTATTTTGGGTGTTTCTTCTATGTTCAATATCAAAGTCAAACAGAAAATCTTGAAACCAGAAATACTGAAATAATTGCTAAAAATTTTTCACCACAATTTTTTCAACAGACTTTTTTTTTAAAACATATCGATTTTCCTTTCTAACATTTTTTTTTGCAATTTTTTATATCCAAAAAAATTTCCGGCGACTATTATTCTGATTCGAAAAGATACCAAGTATTCACAGCGAGTTAATCTTTTTTATCGATTCAAGGCAGTAGTGATTTCAGAATTAATTCGATTTTCTATATTATGAGCAAAAGATAAAATGGAAAACCATATCATACTATTAACACTGAGTTATAGGCGACATTGGGTATAAAGTTTTTACCAGAATTTGCGAAAAACTATAGCTGAGATTTAAATTGCAGAGATAACTTCTTTTAACACCATGCCGCTTGGCGAAATATTTCTCGAAGAGGTCAAACTGTTAATAAAGATCTCGATTTAACTTAGTTTGAGCCTAGAAGCTATATCGAGAGCTCATTTTATTCTTTAAAGTTACATAAAAGCTCTTAAATGTGAAAGTTTAATAAAAGACCCTAGCAATATGTGACAGCGTCGACAGCTCAGCTGCCTTAGGACTCTGCACTTTGCGCAGAACCAAAATTCGAGGTGTGAATTGAATTGGCTGTAAAGGGTGTTTTTTTTGGCATCTGGTTTTCAAACAGAGATTTAATGTTATGGCTAGAAATTTTGCTTTATTCTAATTAACCTTTACGCCATTATGTTTTAAAAATTATTTCAGCTAGCTCGAATATATTCCAACCGACAGAAATGACAATATAACCAAGAGACAGACGATTGACGGCCCAAATTGTTGCAATTCGACCACTTTTGCAGCAATTAGGGCCGTATATCAGCAATAACGCGCCGAATATTATTTGTATTTGCTCATTATAAAATGGCAAATCAAGTATAAATCAAATAAAAGCTGTCAAAAAGACCAATTCCAAAAAAAAGTATTGCCTCATTGAAAACCACACGTTTAAATTAAACACCCTGTATATTGAAAATGTAAGAAGCATTAAAAGAAAACTGACAAGATTATTTCACTCTGAAAGATTTCAGCTTCATTAACATCACTGTCTTCAATACAAACAATTAAGTTGAGTTGGTGATTAGGCACCTTATGCTTGGCTTTGAGTAACTTCTATCAAAGATTAGCTTAAAGACGAGCTGAATGAAAGGAGAGTCGTAGATAAAAATAAGAGCAGGACAATACAGTTTCTCGTTGTTTATAGAGACATGTCGTGAGATAATTGGTACCTTTAATATTGACCGATAACACGTATATAGACTCTATTAAGGTTATAAAACCCAAACGTATTTCTGTAAACAAAAGAAAAAAAGGTTATAGTTTATTCATTAAAATCCTTTTTATAGCTGTATATACACACTACAACAATATATATTGTTTAAATAACATAAGGCATCGTTTTAAAAAATCATAAAAATGGTTCTGCAACACAAAATCTGAAGATTGATCTATTGTGAACTAATGGAACGCCTAAAATCGCTCCAGCACAGTTGTGAATGGCCGGTTGTAAAACTAGAAGACTGCATCCACACATGACGCCTTGTGGCTCATCACCCGACCACCCAAGTGGCTCATCTCCAAAGTCACTTTGGTTAAGATTTTTTTGATTTCGACAATCCAGCGCCCATTTTTTACGCCTAAGTTGTTATTGTATACAAACAATGAATTGAAAACTACACTTTTTCTTTGATTATCAAGTTTTTTTGTGGTTTTCATTTACAGTTGTGAAAATTCTGTGCCTTATTTAAGTTCCCAACGGGTTTTGTAGTTAAATTCCTGTAGATCTATAAAAAAAATTCATTGTGATATTCCGCTCACGGGCTCTACAATGTCTGATACAATTAATTTGCACAATATTTTACCCTAGTCAAAGAAAACGGCAGAGCTTATGCTAATAAAACTCCGGGTACGTAACCAGAAAACAAAAGAGATGTCGACCTTTTCATACACTACACTAATGCTATAGCGCTGTAATACTATGCCTGTATGTATGTATGTATATACAAGTATAGTAGACATATGGCGGACATTGAGGTATCTCCCAAACATGACTTCGGAATGCATCAACCGCCTTTTCAGGTATCGAAAAATGTATAAAGGCAACCTACGTTGAAACCAGCATCAGTATGCTTACGCTCAATAAAAATAAGTATGAGTTTGATACAAAAATTTCTGGAAGGTCTCTTAACATAAAAGAATTAATTGCTAATACTGTAAATTAGGCCTCCACATTTTTCTCCAAAAAGAACACGACCCGTCAATTTGATGAGAACAAAGCAATCGCTGCTGTTGCAAATGAGGAAATACAATCAGAATTCACATAACCTAAAAGCATTTCCAAAAAAATTACGGGGCTTACGACAATAAAAAAATAGCATCAAAAAATTCTCTATCAACTAGGTATACTATTATAAAAGCAAAAAAAAAAAAAACACATCCAAGTGTCAAAATATTACAACATCAAATATTTTTAAACTTCGCAGAAAGACTTTGACCTTCAGTTACATATCTAAAGTAGCTTATTTTGTGTGTTTCTTCTATGTTCAATATCAAAGTCAAACAGAAAATCTTGAAACCAGAAATACTAAAATGAATGCTAAAAATTTTTTACCACAATTTTTCCAACAGACTTTTTTTTTAAAACATATCGATTTTCATTTCTAACATTTTTTTGCAATTTTTTATATCCAAAAAAAATTTCCGGCAACTATTATTCTTATTTGAAAAGATACCAAGTATTCACAGCGAGTTTATCTTTTTTATCGATTCAAGGCAGTAGTGATTCCAGAATTAATTCGATTTTCTATATTATGGGCAAAAAATAAAATGGAAAACCCTATCATATTATTAACACTGAGTTAAAGGCGGCATTGGGCATAAAGTTTTTACCAGAATTTGCGAAAAACTATTGCTGGGATTTAAATTGCAGAGATAACTTCTTTTAACACCATGCCGCTTGGCGAAATATAAATAAAAAATAGGTCACACTGTTAATAAAGATCTCGATTTAACTTAGTTTGAGCCTAGAAGCTATATCGAGAGCTCATTTTATTCTTTAAAGTTACATAAAAGCTCTTAAATGTGTAAGCTTACTAAAAGACAACATTATGAGACAGCGTTGACTCAGTTGCCATAGGACTGTGCAACATGCGCAGAATCAAGATTCAAAGTGGGAACGGAATTGTCTGTAAAGGGTGTTTTTTTAGACATCTGATTTTCAAACAGAAATTTATTGTTATGGCTAGGAATTTTGCTTTATTCAAATGATAAAGGTTGGCCATTATGTTTTAAAAATTATTTCGGCTAGCTCGAATAAATTTCAACCGACAGATATGACAATTTAACCGAGAGACAGACGATTGACGGCCCAAATTGTTGCAATTCGACCACTTTTGCAGCAATTGGGGCCGTATATCAGCAATAACGCGGCGAATATTATTTGTACCGGAGTAAGTCTGCTCATTAGAAAATGGCAAATCAAGTTGAGTATAAATCAGATAAAAGCTGTCCAAAAGACCAACTCCGAAAAAAGTATTGCATTGAAAACCACACGTCTAAATTAAACACCCTGTATATTTGAAATGTAAGAAGCATTAAAAGAAAACTGAAAGCATTTTTTCACTCTGAAAGATTTCAGCTTTAGTAACATCCTTGTCGTCAATACAAAAAATTAAGTTGAATTGGTGATTAGGCATCTTATGCTTGGCCTTGAGGAACTTCTATCAAAGATTAGCTTAAAGACGAGCTGAACGAAAGGAGAGTCGTATCGATGAACAATGTCAGATAAAAATAAGAGCAGGATAATACAGTTTCTCGTTGTATATAGAGACATGTCGTGCGATAATTGGTACCTTTAATATTGTACAATAACACGTATTTAGAATCTCTTAAGGTTATAAAACCCAAACGTATTTCTGTAAACAAGAGATAAAAAGGTTATAGTTTATTCATTGAAATCCTTTTTATAATTGCTTTAGTACAACAATATATATTGTATAAATAACATAAGGCTTCAAAATCTGAAAATTGATCTATTGTGAAGTAATGGAACGCTTAAAAATTCGGAGGTAAAGTTGTGAATGGCCGGCTG